CGAAAGCGCACCCAGCAAAATAATCGTATTTTGTTCATAATCGTCGCAAGCCGTAATCGCGATTTAAAATACGATTAATTGCACAGCCCTACTGTAGTGTATATTTTGTGTAAAATCTAGTGTATACATAATTTTCCTACACATTTATTCACTGGTGTGTCTAACCTGCAAGTTGCTCTTTAAATACGGCAGACATCACGATACTTGGGTTTTTCTCTAGCTTGTTTAGAGTCACAGGTTCTATTTTGATTTTTCTAAGGATTTAAAGTTAGCGGTTTTTTCTTTCTTTAAAAGTTACTCCCATCAATGTCTATTTTTTTTTATTTTTGTACACATAGTCTATTGAAATGTTCCAGTAGTATGAGTCTAATGATGAAAGGAAGATCCCTCTGCGATTCAGCAGTGTGAGCACATACTTTATTTAGCTTAAAGGTGGGGTAGGTAATTCACTTCAGAAACACTTTTTGTTATACCCCATGGAATGCTCTTAACATCCCGATAGCAATGAATATATTAAATGCTTTGACAATAAATACATTAAAAAAACGTCATCTGTGGCGCTGTAAAAAGCACAACCAATCATTTTAGCCGGCCCGGCTAAAATAACTGGACGGCTTACCTGCCTGTCAGCCTTCCATCTCGTGCACAAACTTATCTCGTGCCCTCATTGGTCATGTGTGTGTTGGAGGAGGTGCTCTGTAAGGAAGTCTGAAGGAAGGGGCAGATTTTTTTTTTCCGGCTGCGTAGTTTCAAATTCTAGCGCACTCGAGCTGGTTTCTCCATTCTTACCCACCCTACCTTTTTAACGAACCATTAAAATAACACCACTCTGCTTCGTTTGATTACTCACTCCGCCTGCTACTTTGGGTTCTTCTGATATTTTACCGTCTTTATCAATTGAATTTCGAATTGGCGTGTTTCCTAAATCTTTGTTTTCTGTGTTCACAGACAAAAGAGCGTTACAAACTGGAAGCACTTCAGAAGAAGCAGGAGCAAGAGGAGGAAAGGATGAAGAAGATGGAGGAAGAGAAGAAAAAGAAACAGGACGAACTTAAAAGGTTAAAACTCTACCTCTTGTCACCCCTGAACACTTTAGTAATTTCCTCACTTCGTTTGATTTAACATTGACATGTTGTGTTCTAGGAAGAGGGATGAGAGACTGAAGAGAGTGCATGAGGCTAAAGTCAAAGAAGAGCAGAGGGAAGTAGAAAAGAAGAAGAAAATCGAGCAAAAAATGGTTCAGATTGATGAGAAAAATGATAAGGTATGAAACACATCTTCTGACTCTGAATATGTATTTCCCCCTCAAAGCATATCAAACCGATTTTTAATCTTTTGGTATTTTTGCAGCGCCAGGCCGAGGAGAACAAGAAGAAGAAGTTGGCTGTTAAACGTCAAGAGGACCTGGAGCAGAGGAAGAAGCAGGAAGAGGAGGCTAAAACGAAGATTCAGCAAGCCGTAAGACAGCTCTATTGTGTGTTCTCATGTATAGCCTGTTCTGTTGCTCAGCTTAGTTTGGTCCGTATAGCACTCAATCCAAGAGCCTCCTAGCGTTTTAGTCTATTCAACTTTAAAAATGAACGCTGTCAAGAAGTTAAATACTCACACAATGTTCCTTTGTTGAATCCAAAGTATGGTCTCTCTGCATGTTTTTCTTTTTCACAATCAAGCTTATCTTGTGTGCTTTTTTTTTTCAGGAAGAAGAGAAGAAGCAGCAGGAATTACTGGCCAAGAAGAAGGCCGAGGAAGAGGAACAGCGAACTCGCAAACTGGCTGAAGCTCGCCGAGCGCTGGAGCTGAAGAGAGAGCAAGAGAGAGAGAGGCTAGCTGCTGCTGAAAGGTTATCTATTGTCTTTAAATCTAACCACTGTGCCACAGATACTTTATCATCTATACCTGGGGTGTCAAACTCAAGGCCCATGGGCCAAATCCGGCCCGCGACCTCATTTCATGTGGCCCGCAAGAGCTTGCAAGGAATATTATATACATTACAATTGGTGTAATTGTTGAATATTTGCTTTCAATTATTTGCCCTAGACTTTTGCTTTCAGATGTACTTAATTATGAAGTTATTAAAGGAATTGTTAATAATCCAATGCAGAGACAATAATGTAATATAATACATTATATACTATATTTATAGAGAAGCCAAGAGTATGCAAAGCTGTCATCAAGGCAAAAGAGGGCTAATTTGAAGAATCTAAAATATAAATGAATATTCCGGATTTTTTTTTTTTGATTTTTTTTTTACAATTTTTGGTTTACTAGATAATTCCATATGTGTCTTTTATAGTTTTGAGGTCT